GATCGCCTCTCTATTGGTGTTTAAGGGTGTATAGTGTTTGCACTTAGCAATCCTAGGTTATGGCGTCCGAGGATTGGTATTTTTTTTTCTTATATCTAGCATTATTATCTTTCATGCGGATGTAATTGGTTGCTCGGGCATGTAACTCATTGAGGGACCTTGGTTGATAAGTGAAACAACTGTCCATTAAGGGTATGGGTTGTAAAGCGACTAATATAGTGTGTAGGACCACTTAAGGTGTAAATTTGGTATTGTATTTAATACTCAGGCTAATTGACCCATGAAACTTTGGAGGGACTCACCCTCACCCTACTTCACGCCTTCTGAAGCCACCAACGTGGCTACATGCATGTTCCTGTTTGTGAATCTAACTTGGAATCGCTTCACTAGTGTATAATATGAATCAACCGAATTATATGGTAGAAAGTTGTACCATCATAAGGTTAGTGCTTTTAACGTAGTGGGAAAGACTAGGCAGAGGACGATTTCGCTATTAGTGTACGATTATACTTGTGCCTTGTACACTGCTAAGTGCTCTTCTATATCTATTGACCTGTCATACTTCTCTATGTCTTGAGTTCCCAATTAGGAGGGAGACATGATTCCTAAAATGAATGGGTGGTCGTTATCCTCCTCTTGAATTTTGGTTATTTGCGTACGTTAGGAGCATGTAGGTTGAAGGCGGAGTGGAGCTTGCACTATAGGTTCTCTCTAAGGAAGTAGTTGGACTGTTACCTTGTTAGTTGTTAAATTATTGGCAAGCGTACCAAAATTATCAATCGCAGTATAGTATTTTGATTAAATAAAAGTTGATCCCATAAGGAACAATTTCAATGGAAATTCCCAATTATATGCTTACTAAGTGGATTAAAACAAAATGGGTTTTGCATAAAGAGTTGAATTGAAATTAAATGACAAATAACTATAAATTGTTTAGAAAAGATCAATTAAAGGCACTTAGGATTGTCTTCCTTCCTTTTCCCTCTTTTGCAATGACTATGTCCAATTAAAATCATCAATTAACCTAACAATGTTGATGCCACCTACTCAAATCATCCATGTTGATTCCTCACACATGAAATTCATAAGAAAACCTAATAAATGTTGATTTCACACACAATTAAGAGATTTTCCAACATTAGGTTTAGGGTGTTAAGAAATTGATACATTCATTCCATTCTTGGCAATTAACGTAAAAAATATTCTTACCATGATCTAAGGTTCAAGATATATTTTTCAATCATATCCCAAACATCAAGAATAAACATTCAAAAGCATAAAGGATAAAAATAACAACATGAAAAACATAGATTGATATCTCAAAATATCACCAATATACAAAAGAGTTCAAAGGAAGTGCACCCAATTCCAAGAGAATGAAGTTAGCCACTCATGGTGGCCATTACAATGATCCAAATGAGGAAGAAGTGAAGAATTGATGAAGATTGGACGAAACTCTAGCAGTAGTCGCGCCTCTTCTCCCCAAAACCTCCCATTACATCTCAAAACGCGTCTTATCTTTTCATAAGAAAATTTGGGTTGGGCCTTGCGTCTTTCGCTCAAGCGAAAACGTTCGCTCAAGCGAAAACGTTCGCTCAAGCGAAAGTTCAGTATTTTCGCTCAAGCGAAAAAGTGCTCACTTGAGCGAGAGAGTTCCAGAGAAGTTTAACTAATTTTCGCTCAAGTGAGAATCTATCTCGCTCGAGCGACTTTCATGTTGAAAATTTTCTTCCTCCTTTCAATTTTTGCTTCAATTATGTTGACAATTATGCTTCTTGCTCTTGTATCAAGGTATTCTCGAATTCATCCTATATTGGGAGAAAAATAGATTAGAATTGACATAAAGTGATTTCATAACAATTAAAAACATAATTATATCAACTTTTACTACTTAACATTAGTGTGTCCATGCCTATGGTTCTCCCTCTAGTGACTTCTTCTTCTTGGGCTTGGCGATCTGACACTTGGGTCAAGTGGGGTTTCTTGATCTCTGGACAAGTTGACTTTTAGTTTATATCGGGTTTCGAAGTGTCAAATGTGTTCTATTAGTCGATGCTAGCTATTGTTCAGTTCGTGCTTGACTCGATGTGATGGTTCCTTCATGGTGCATGTTTGATTTTCTCGTTGGAATAAAGCTTTTACTTTTTTTCGTAGGGTTTGAAGCTCGACTTTGGTGTTGCTTCCAAATTAACTGCAAGTCTTTGACTGCTTTTTGTTGAGTTGTTTGATGTTGTTTTCGAACCATTTCCAGTTCTTTTACTACCTTTTGTTGGATTTGTAATAGTTTAGTGTTATTTTGTTCTTGTAAATTTTTTATCTCCTCGTGATTTTTTTGTTCACATTCGTCCAAATGTTTCTTGAGGTTGTCGATGACGACTGTAGGATCCTTCTCACTGTATGAATTGGAGACCGTCTGATTGCGGGTTAGAACAATGAAGTGGAAGAGATTGTGGGAATCGTTTTATCCGGCTCCATGGAGGGCACCAAACATTCTTATTGAATTAGTACTGATCGACAAGATGGGGTCATGAGATAGGTGACCGAGTTCTAAGCTTTAACTTCAAAATGATTGAAGTTTCTTCCCTTGGTGATATGAATCTCAATAGCACAAGGGATGATTTAGGATCTTTAGGGTTAAAACCTTGTAGGAAATTTTAGAATTTAGTGATAAGGTGGAAGAAAATAATCACTCTTCCTAAAGGAGGCAACTCACAAAGGATGTGAAAGTCCTTTGATACAACCAAGTGTTCTTGTTCACTCAAGAATTTAGGAGAATCACTCTCACAAAGATAAAAGAGTTAAACTCTAATATTTTTAAATAAAATTTAATTTGTTATATTTGATAAAAATATGATTCAGCCTATATAGAATCTTTGTCATCAAAATTACAAAGATTCAATAAAGAAAAATAAATGCTAATAATGATTCATTAACCTAGAAATTAAAAACTATTTAATGGAGACAAATAAAAACTAATAATGATCTATTAACCTATGAATTGATACTACTTAATGATTGATTGTAACTGAAATTATGACAATCAAAAGTCAATCAGCTATGCACTCTCTTCCCAAAGACTAATGAATAAGTTTTCAATTGAGCTCTTATTACAACTTACAATAAAACTAAACTAAAACTCATTAATTGATTAATTCAAAATGCAATTTGATCAACCAACTATACTTGTTGAAGAGTTTCATTTACTTTTCTTGCTCTAACCCTTGTCATAGGTCATGTCTACATCTCTTGAAAAAAATAAAGACTCCCCATCACTTGGAAAAAACAAATACTCACAAGTAAAAGATACTTTAATGCTAAAGAAACTTTTAGACAAAAAAAATTATATTTTAAGATAAGTAATAGGATAAAATTTATTCCCTGAGTAGATCTTCTTATATAAGAGGCAAAAGATAACAAAATAATAATAATAATAATAATTTAAAATATAATGAGGTTACATTAATCATAAATAAACAATAATTAAATAATATTTTTAATAAATTTTGGTAGATACATTTCAAATATTACTTTTATGTATAAAATTTCATAATAAACTATGATGAACACTGTTGTTTTAAATCAAAATAAGTTTCACCAATATTTTGCTGGATGCAATTTCTTTTCAAAAGTTTTTTTACTAATTTTTTTTAGAAGGAGTTTTTGAAAGTGAAAATAAACTGATTCTTTACACGATACAACCGTCTTACCCACTACTTTTCACATCCTAAATATTATTTTCTATTTTTATTGAAAAGAAATTACATCAACCAAATATTTCATATTTAGTTTACTCTTTAAAATATAACATTAAAAAAATGTTTTTCAAAATAGTTTTTTACAAACAAATTTATAAAACCGAGAAGTGAAAAATCTAAATTTCCAAAATTAAATAACTTTTTTAATGAAATAATTATAATGCTATTCTTATTAAATCACTTAATATGAAAATAAGTTAACCATTTTTTGTAATTTTTTAAAAATAGTTCTAATATTATTTTTGTTTAACCAAAATAAAATTTATTTAATTTAATGATTATAATTATTAAAGTTTATCATTTATATGGAGATGAAGATAGATTAGACAAAATATTTATATTTTAAATTGAATCATTTTAATTTTAGTTCGTACTAACTTAAATATTTAAGAACAAGTTTGTTTTATAAAATTATTATTATTTTTAAATAGAAATAAAAATAATATTTTAATATATATATATATATTATAAATTATTTTTAAAAGAAATCTATTTACTTCAATAATAAAATTTAAAATAAAATATTATTTTAAATAATTTTATAAATTAAAAAAATAAATACGAAAAGAATGATTTAGTCTCTTATTCATATTTTTAAAATAATATATTTTCTTTTATAATTTATATACCAAATTATTATATTTATAATAAAAAGTAGTTGATTAATATAAATCAAAATTTTAAAAATATTTTATTTAATTATTGACTTTTAAATTTTAGTTTAATATTTCTATAAATTATCTTATATAAGCATATTTTTTTTTAATTAAATAAAAATTGACTAATTAATTTTTATCTAACGAAAGATTGAGAAGAAAAAAACATAACCTATTATTTTAAAATATAATTGAGACTAATCTATTCAACTTAAAATAACTTCTTTGATTAGATTATTATTATTTTTTTTTACAATTAAATAAATTTTAATTTAGTTCCGATATTTTAAAATCTTCCTTTTAATCTATATATATATATATATATATATATATATATATATATTATTTTTACTATCTTTCATATTATATATATATATATATATACTTAAATAAGTTATTTTTAAATATAAAGATTAATTAAAAAAAATACATACACTGTAAAACCAAACGAGTAATTAAAGTTTATATTTTATTTTATTAGAGAACAAAAAAAAAGCCTGAGTGAGTCCAAGATGGCGTGACAGTGGAAAAGAGGAGGAAAAGTTGTATCTTTTAGTTTTAGTGTAAAACTCTAAACCCTTTGTGCCGCATGTCGACCTCCGAAGACGCAAATGCATCAACGGCACAAGAGCAAGAACCTGAGGCAGAGCAAGAACAGGATCAGCAATCGGAAGAATGGGAGACGATGGCCCGAGCTTGGCTCTGTTCCTTCCCGGAGGCCAAGGAAGTGAGCATCACCGAAGTCGAGGCCTGGATCGACTCCAACCTCGCCTCTCTCCCGGAAGGCCTCCGATCCATGCCTCGCCCCGATCTCTCCCACCGACTCATCTCCTTCCAGAATTGCATTAGACTCCCCAACCAGGTTCTCCTTCTTCCTTCCAACTAAATTCCACTTTTCATTCAGATCTCGCTTCATTTAATCACACACGCGCTTTTATCTTCTTGCTCTGCTTTTACTACGGAGAACCCCGCATACTAGATTTTCAAATGTAGTTACAATCCCTATACCTTTGCATTAAATGACACTGAAAAATGTGTGGATTTTTTAATTTTGGATAGAAAAATGTGTGAATTGCTACACCTGACACTGTCTGGCTTTCCAGAAGAGGGAAGCAAGTCAGCTTGATCTTCCGCAAGCACGGTTCCAGCGCACTGATCAGTGGATTCCGGTTTATTCGTGGCTGGAGACTTTGGATAAAGATGAGGTGGTTAAGTCCAAGGAGATTTCTGACTGGTTAACCGAGAACCCTAGCGTCCAAGAACAGTTGTGCTCCCGGCATTCTCGATACCATTTGATGCATTACATCAAGAAATGCCATCTCAAGATATTAAAAAGAAGGGATAAGAAGAAGGTATTCAATTCCTTTCATACTTATTTTATGACATTGTGTACATGTCTAGTTCTGTTGTTAGCTTTATCCTTCCCATTCTTATAACTGAAATAGTTTAGTTGCTTTCTAAACTTCCTTATCTGGTATTTACCCTGGTCTTTTTGCAGAGGGTAGTGGTTTTGTGGTGCTCTTGATCTATTGCATCCCCATGTCCCTTTAACACTTGGGTCCAATTGGTTCTTCCTAAAGCACTAATACTTAATTATCTATAGTCATGGAACTGAAGATGGTTTTAAAATTTAAATTATGTGATTTCGTTGAGTGTTGACTTAATATATTATATTGCTAGAGTGTAGAGCAGCCTGACAAAGACTCGTCGTTGAAGGTTCAAAAAGACATGGTGATGAAACATCCAGCTCCCCTTCCAAGTATGCTTCATTAATCTTGCCTCTAAATTGTCTTTGGTTTATGCGGTGGAACGTTTGTTTCATTTTCACTCAGCCAAAATTGCACATATCCATGAAGTAGCCTATATGTTGGAAGTACATTATTGGAAACTTATTTGTGGGAAACATTATTAGAAATGCTTTAAAGAAAATAGAAGGGTAAATCTTCATGTGTAATCAATTTAATTTTGTGCATGTGTAATATAATAGTCAATAAGGTGCTATACTGGCACAATTGTGGGATAGTGAAGCAAAACAACCAGGGCTGCCTTGTGAAGCGGTTTCCAATAGTGGCTGCAGTAGTGGTTTTTTGTGTGCTGCTATGAGATAGGCTTCAAAAACTCTTAACTGGGTATATTTTAAGGTAAAAATCCACAAAAGTTATCTCTGTTTGAACCTCTATTGCTTCATAGTTCATATTCTATACGACTATTTATTTTATCCTTATTCTGTGTTTTCTTCTTCCTAGTTCACGTTCTACTATGTTTTTTTTCTTCTAATTTGTCATGTTCTTTTTTTTATTAGTTTCACCAATATCTTCCACTTTTTGTTTCATTAATATGTTTTTATTGATCCTAGATTGATGGCTACTCTGTAGGGTATAATTTCTAACCTTTTCTCACTTTCCTGTAGCTTTCTACCGACTTGTGTTGTGGGAAACCACTCTAGCTTTTTGTCTATATCTTTTATCCGAGTAGGGAAATTTGGGTGGGTTAGTAGAGTATACTTTTTATTTGATTCTGTTAATGCTCTTATATTTGGTCTATCTCCATATTCTTTTGTCTGCTAACTGGACTGGTGAAAATAAATACTGTAGATTTGTTTTACAAGGTATATGATTATGTTCCCTAGAAATGCCATTCTTAGAATTAAAAGACATGTTTGATTCACATTTAACATTTTCTGAAATGTTTTACAAAATTCCGAGGATGGTAGAAAGTATGTGATAGAAACTATTGAGTGGATGTTAATACCCATCCCTCATTTTCTTGCCAGGAGAAAGCAGCACCTCTTATCATCTAATTAACGAACTTAAGCCAGACATAACAATGACATATCCCTGGAAATGCATCATGCCCAAGAATATCTTTCAAAGATGTTATGACAAAAATGGGATATCATATTTCAAAATTCATTTTTTTCAAGAATAACTTAATAATCATCTATCGGAAACACCCTAATTTTTTCCTTGGAATCTGGAATTTTCTTCTCTTTACTAATCTCATGCCTCCTCCCCTATATTTGTTATTTCTACTATGGTACTTTCAAAACTGCACGAGTTGTATTCAAATGCTACCTTCTTGAAATTTCTATCTAATTTTGAAATGCTCAATCTCAGACATTTTCTTTGTTCCTTTTTAATTTTTTATTCTCACTTCAGTTTAATTTTTTATTCTCACTTCAGTTTGGCTCATTTTTCATATTTTGAACTGTATATCTCTAATTCTACAAAATGTCTGACTGTAAAAGAAATTGTATATTTTGATTCCTGCAGGTGTTGTTGGAATTATGCTAATGCTTTTTATTTATTTATATTTATAATTATAGGTCTTGATCTTTACTCTGTAAATTTTCCAGGTAGTTCTGTAAGTAATCTGCCCAAAGACAGCGATTTGTTCCTGGCGAAAAAAAATGAAGCCTATCGTAAATATGAGATGTAAGTGAATTAGCAGATTTTCTTTGTCTGGCTACGTAGGTATTACAAGCTTATCATACTCCAGTTTTCCTCATTAATTTTGTTTCAGTTTGGTAGAGTTGGAGAAGCTACTTTCCCCGTCATTCTCAAAGCAACCTAGCATATAGATTAATGCTGGAAACATCAACTAGAGTGTGTGCAAATTGTCATTCAATGAGCAATGTTGTCTCCCTAAATGTTTAGCTTGGTTGCTGACTATTCTCTTCACGTGGAATGGTAGATCATAGTAGTTTACCTATGTAGAAAGTAGTGTAGCAGTAATTTTTTTTATCGTTACACTACACCAACTTCAGAAATGATGAATCTGAGCTGGTCTGAAGTTTCCTGTTACGAGTAATTAAACATTTTGGCGATGAATTAATACACTAGTTAGGGTTATACTTGGTCAATCACACGAGCGATTTTAGAAAGGATGACACGAATTATTTTCGTTGCATGTTGTACAAAAATCAGGGTTGCTATTTGCACATATCTACAACGTTAGCCATCCCTTACAAATAAATAATTTAAAAAATTTGTTGTGTTTTTTTATGGCCCAATGGTGACTGTCATCCGTTGTAATGTTAAAAAAACTCCTTTGTTTGTTATCCCTTACAAAAACCTGTTTTCGACAGATATGTGTTATCCACAATAGAAATACATTTTTGTTATATGTATAAAGAACGCATCCAACAACACAATGAAAAACAATTTTATTATAAACAATACACAACGAAAATGTGTTCCTTTTGTTTTAGAAGGTTTGATACCTAACAAAAACATACTTTTGTTGTGTATTATTTTGAGCTATACAACAAAAATATTTTCTTATAATGGATTTTTCCTACTAGTCTTGCTTGCGATAATGTCACTATGACTAGTTCAAAGTAGAGGTTTGTCAGAAAAATTCTTCACATTGAGTTGCCTTTAAGGAATTAAAATCAGACTGGAGAGAGGCTTAGTGAGTACATTTGTCCATTACCATTAATCCAGAGCTGGGATGTGATAATTCAATTTTTTCTTGGTTATAATCTTCTCTCTCTAGGGTAAAAAAGGCATCAATCTCCATATGTTGAGTCCATCTGAAAAAGAGGATTGTGAGTAATAGCTATTGCACTTTGATTATCAAATGGAGACGGGGTTAGTAAAGGAACCAAAAGTTCTTTTAACGAAGCCTGACTTCATGTTAGCTTTAGCTATCCAGTGCCTTCACACCACTATCACGATATTTGTTTTAGGTAATAAAGAGCCTTGTTAAGTTTACACACAAGAGTTGTCTTTAACTTCTAGGGGATGTACCATATAAACTTTTTCATCCAAGTAACTAATAAGAAAAACATTATTCACGTCTAATATTATAATAGGTTTAACAAGAGAAAAAGTCTGATTATAATTGAAGTCATGGGCTTGGCAAAACTCTTTGCAGAATAAATAATGACGTTGGTTTGCTTGGGATAATGATTGATAATTTTAGGAACAAATTGAGTGGATGGAGAAGAGTCAGTAGTGGATGAGGAGTTAAACTTTGCATGTGACCAAAGAGGTACTTCAAACGTTGACCATTCCCACCACGACATCCATACCGTCGCGAGCATTTCCACCGATAGAGTACTACGATGTCCAACGTCAATTGGGTTGGATGAAGCATCGTCGAGTGTAGTTGACGGTGGGAGAGATTGTTGCGAAACATGTAGGCTTGAGATTCATGGGCAATAAGCCTCAACTTCAACCAAAGGGGTTTCAAAGGGATTTTCTGAAGGTTTAATTTTTTGTGTTTTAGAACGTGGAGCGGAAATAATAGAATTTCTACTGGCTAAATCATGCATACTAGCTAATATAATATTAGGTAATAAGTAAAAATAAAACATCTAAAAATCATTTTGAAAAGACTGTAACACTCTGAAAGTTATCTCATTTGAACGTAAGAAGGTTTTACTAGTATTTCACCAGAACTAATCTTATTGTGTCAACATGCGACAGAAGAATATGTAATGAACTTGAATTCTAATGAAAGACTTGAGAGATGCGTGAAAAAACTGCGCAGCACTTCTTTGCAAATCAACCATATTTAGAGAGTGCATTCACATTGATATTGGAAACAGTTTCTTATCTAATGGAAATCAATTGGGCCTTTATTCAGGCATATTATTTTCATTTTAATAGGAACAGTTTCCTGTTTAATAGAAACTATCCGTGCACACTATTATTCAGTCCCTAGTCCCTATCTCACCCTTTATTTTATTATTTTCAAAATTCCATACAAATCAAATCATACGAAAAATCTGATTACTCAATTGCTAGGCATTCAAGATATTTTTTTTACTAAGTCTTACTTAATTAATCTTACATACTCTCAAACTTTATATTAAATATATTTTTGGTGTTAACAAAAAATACAATAATATTTTATTTTAAAAGAATATAAATTAGATAAAATTAAACTTGTTAATTTAATTAATAATATTTTTCTGTTCAACAAATATCAGAATATTATTAGTATGTGATATCGTAGGTTCATTACTAACTGATAGTGAATTAATTCATTAATTTATTAATTAAGATTATAATTTAAGAGTACACCTTAATGACCAAATAACATGAAGTATCTTTTACTTTAGAATCACTAAAAGATTAATATAGTATTTCTTTCTATCACTAAGACTTATTTCTCATTATTATAATCTCTATTATAATAATAAGTCTTTAATTTTCAATCAAGGAACTTATCATATGAATTAAATAAATATGATAATGAAATAAATAATAATAAATACAATTTTATTACTACTAACATGAAAAATTTGATATAGGGCATACCTCAAACCCAACAATCTCCCACTTACACTATATTCAATCAATCATGTATCTCATTCCGAATTCCCACTTGTGCCTGTCAAACTCTTGTATGCCAAGCGCTTTGGTGAATGGATCTACAACATTCTTTTTGTCTTCTATCTTTTGTATCTTAATGTCTCCCCGTTTAACAAATTCTCCAAGTATGTAATATTTTCTATAATAATGCTTTGTCTTTTGATGCGATCTAGGCTCCTATGCTTGAGCGATTGCTCCGTTATTGTCACACAACAATGTAACTGGCTCATCCATTGAAGGAATTACACCAAGTTTTGCTAAGAAATTTTTCATCCAAACTACTTCCTTAGCAACTTCACTTGTTACTTTGTATTCTACTTTAGTAGTTGAGCTAGCGGTATTATCTTGTTTGGAACTTTTCCAACTTATTGCACCATCGTTTATGGTGAAGACATAACCAGAAACAAATTTGGTATCATCAATAAACTTGTTAACTTGAATTTAGAATCACCATATGTGAGTAATTGGTCTTTAGTCCTTCTTAAGTACTTAAGAATTGTTTTAACCAATTTTCAATGTTCTTCACCTAGGTTGGCTTGATATTAACTAGTTACACCTAGTGCATAGGTGACATCAGGCCATGTACAAGTCATGGTATACATGATATCTCCCACTGCCATATGGTACTCTATTCATGCGTTCTCTCTCTTCAGCAGTCTTAGGACAACCATTCCTACTAAGAGTGACTCCAGTACCTATAGGCAAATAACCTCTCTTGTGAGAGTCCAAGAAGTATTTTGGATCTATCTTTATAGATCTTTATTCATAGAATATAAGCTACTTCTCCCATATCCTTCATGGAGAACTATTTAGATAGCCAAGATTTTGTAGATTGTAAAGTAGAAATATCATTTCTGATGAACAATATATCATCAACATATAACAATAAGAATATAACTATGCTCCCACGAACCTTTTTGTATACACAAGAAGAACAATGCATTACTAATATCCCGGGGATAGATATGAACTTAATATGTCATGCTCATGATCAGATACAAGAAAATGTCAATGTTGCGACACTAACCACGTGGTAGTGTATCCTTTGCATTATACATGTTAGCTCACATGTCTTACTAGCAACACCAACAATGTTAACCTCCATGGTCCTGAAAAAGATTGTCATAGATGTGAACTAATGTCATATTTGGTTCATTCGAAGTGATGTTGTGACATTATTTGCATGGGACCTAACGCTTTCATCAAATTGTATCATCGATTAAGATCAACTAATGTCGTCAAAGATGCGTTTAGGTCAATAGTTAAAAAAACAAGTTGCCAAATTTTTACATATTTTAGGACACAATGTTAAAAATCGTACCATCTTTTTTTTTTCATCGATTGGGTGAGACAGTGAGTTGACATTTCCACAACGTGTTGAATGCGATAATTGAATTAAAGGAGTAATTTTTTGTTCAACCATTAGGAATGGATGTGCAAGCATAAATCTATAACAATCGCAGATTTTATCCCTATTTTAAAGATTGTCTTAGTGCGATTGATGGAACGCATGTCCGCGTCAAAATACAACAATCAGAAGCCCTTGATTTTCGTGGTAGAAAAGATTGGCCAACCCAAAATGTGTTTGCGGTGTGTGATTTCAACATGAGATTCACATATGTGCTAACAGGGTGGGAAGATACTATATCTGACTCGCAAATTTTAAAAGATGACTTAGCAAAGGAGAATCCATTGTCCATACCAGAAGATATGCAACATTTGAGGACAAACATTGTTTATTTCTTAACATAAACGGTTAATAGCAATTACTAAGTAATGTTGTTTTGTGTAGGTAAATATTATTTGGGTGACACAAAATTCATGTTAAAGGATCAAATTATAACTCCATATCAGGGGTAAGGTATCACCTTAAGGAGTATTCACAAAGTGGTCCTACGACTCCTCAAGAATTATTTAATCATCGTCATTCCTCACTAAGGAATGTGGTGTGTTAAAGAAAATATTTTCCATTATAGCAAGTGCGGCTGAACCCTACTATAGTTTTGAAATATCGAGGAATATAGTTTTGACATCCTGCATTTTGCACAACTTTTTACGTGGAGTAGATAACGATGAATCTTTTTCACATGAAGTGGACCTAGAATTAAAGGAACATGTGGATGATAGGTCTGCAAAACAAATTCAAGAGGATGATTACAGGGAAGGGGTTAAGTTAAGGGATCTAATAATAGCATAAACGTAGCATGATTATGAACAATAAATTATGTTTTTTTTTTTCTTAGTGTTGATGTATATT